TCAAAGAGCTAATGGATAGACATTTTGTTAACATATGTAGAACTGATGCCAGGCCATAAAACAACATTGTACTGAGTATTACACATCTTCAGAGAAGCCCTTTTTTCCCCTGATAGTTTTTTTTGCTGGAGGAAGAGGGCGTCTACAAATTATTTCTTTCCTTATGTGCATGAATGCCTAGCAGACTCAAAAGCCTGGACATTTTTATGTTCTCTTGTTCCCTGGAGTTCTGCCCAATATCACAAATTCCAAGAAAGGGCTGATTTTTGACATAGGGAAAGGAAGAAGAATGTAAAAGCAAATAAGCTGCCTTTTCCCTTGTAGAACAGATTCTGTTACATCAATCACAGATTGGTAAAGAACTTCACAATCTATTACCTTAGCATCTTTGTTTCTCAGGTCACTCCTAAGACTGCTACTTTCAAAATGCCATCCAAACTTGGCTCAGAGCTACAGCACATTCTTTAATGGTCTTTTAAGCCTGTGATGTTCAAAACAGTCACTTTTCAAATTGTACTTTTTTGTAGATATGGCACTCCATAAAAACAGGAGGCAAAAAAGCAATGTAGAGTGAATTCCTGGAACAGCTATTCAGGATTCTACAAAAGCCACTTATAAGCCTCTCTCTTTGTGCTCTACAGTATTTATGCTAGATCATAGAATAATGAGCAATCATTAAATGTATGTACTTTGTAAGGCACTTAGGAAACTGTTTTCCCATCACTTATTAAGTGTAAAGTAAGTAAATCAGCACTGTACACCAAGAAATAGGCAGTACAGACAGATACTGAAAGTCAGGCTTACAGAAGAATTATATCTTTATCCGCTTTGATACCTTTGCAGTTAATCAAATATTTTGCAGTTCCATGTTTGGCACATTAGGTACATTGAAGCCAGACTAGCAAGAAACAGCCGCTATATGTATCATTTCCCCAGTGATGGGAATGGTTGCTTCTGCACTTTTAAGACCAATCATGCTTCATCTGTATTAAAATGAAAAGACAAACATGTTTTTACTGCCAACTCTGCTAAATTTCAAATGAAAACCACATTAGTTAACTCGTGAATTTCTCAGTCAGTCAGTCTCCAGTATCAGTTTACACAGCCAACAACTCACTAGTACACAATGCAGTACAAAAGGATGCTAACAGTATCGTCCCACGTTCAACAACGTGCTTCAAAAACCCCTTCCACAAAACAAAAGTCAGACTGCAAATCTCTCTACTCTACAATAGCCTGAAACTCAACAGGTTCTGATGCCATATTTTTTTCATTTAACAAAGTCTTTGGCTCAACTGTCAGGAGTCATATGGGCTGAAATACATTAAGCCCCACAGCCCACAGGTTTTCCACTCTCCTGCTGTCCTAAGCACCGTGGGAATGTGATTCCAAGCTCAGGAAGGTTGCCAGGGCATCAAGTCATAGCATGTTTGGTTCCACTACTTCCTACTACTTATATGTAGATAAGCTTGATCTTGAATTCATTATCTTGTGGGCACAGCCTCACCTCCTCTGGGCACTTAAAGGGATTTGGGCTTCAGCAGGAACTAAGCAAGCACCTGAGGAGCAACAGTGATGATGCTGGATGTCTCTGAGGGTGTGTGCTCAAAACATGCAGTCATGTCCACTGCGACATCAGCAAGGATGCTGCATGGGAGAGCTGCACCTCCCTGGCTTAGAAGAAGTAACAAGACAAAGCAGAACAAGGACACACTGGATTGTACTGACACTGGGATAAAGTGCATTTACCTTTACTGTTCGGATTTTTCCTACCCCAATTAAAAACTCAGTAGTGCAAAGTAAGGTTTCAAAGTACACTTAGCTTACTTGGAGCAACTGACATCAAAGGATTTGTTTACTACTACTGTCTGGCCAAACCAAAAGGACAGATCCAAACAGAAGAAATATCACTGGGTTAACTGTTCAAACAACTGTTACTGGGTTCATAGAGATGCGCACCTAAGTCACATCACTTGTTTTTGGAGATTCATGCATGAGCTTCACACTTCACAAAGCAGTAATTATATTTCTTGTATTGCTTTAACTCATTCAGAAATTTAAACATATTGATGTTAAGCATGGGAGCCTAACTAAAGGTCTGCAAGTTCAACAATTCTATAAATTGTCATGACATCAAACACTCCTTGCAAAAAAGAAAACAAAACACTTGAAGAAAAACAGGCCAGAAGTATTTCAGCTACTTTGTTTTCTAATTTTATTTCTTTTTTCTTTTTTTTTTCCCTCCTCCATTGCTACATGCCAGAATCCACAAAAAAAAGAAAAGCCACACGGAAAAATGACTTAAAAAGGAGGCTCTGAACTGACACGCTGCAGGAGTGGTCAGTGGTCAAATAATAATAATCAATACTGCTTGCAACAAATAGAGTTTTTAAGCAATTACGTCTTGGTAATTACTTTTAACAAACATGCTAAAATCTCAGAGGAGGAATGAATGATTTATAAACCAGGCAGTATATTAAATTCCAGTAAATACATAGACAATCACAGGCATTCCTAACATAGTTATATCTAGAACTGTGTCATTTCTCACCAGACTTCATCTGTATTCCACAGTGACCCTCATTTTCAATTCTGTTCCAGCTTTTAACTTATAATTAACTGCAATATCTGTGATCAGTGATGTTTCACAGGCTCCAGCCTAATTTGAACTGTATGGCTTTAGACCCTTGTCACAGCTATACCACCCACTGCTGATTTCTCACCCAGACTTCAGAGATACAGATTTGACTTTGTTTCATTTCAAACCTCAAACTGAAATTTTGGCCCACAGGAAACAGCACCTTTCTCTTCCACTGGACTTGTAACGCATTTCTAAACACTTTGGCATAAAAGGCATTGCAAGAATTTGGGTCTGCAATGTATTTTTTTGCCTGAATAGTTAGATTTTTCTGGATAACAGAGTTGAATTAGCATAGTGAAGCATCTATTAAGCTTCCAAGAATTGAGTGCTAAAAAACCTAAACATTCACTTGTTTTATTTTTCTGTTCCTTGGTTACTTTTTCAAAGTGTGTACACTGCCACTCCCATTAACATCAGCAGGGGGTTTGTAAATAAGCCTTTATCCAGCATTTCAAAAACCTGAGCTTCTTGGGGTAAGAAGAGATCACAATCTATTTCATTACTTAAAGACGCAGAGCAGGATAGAAAAGAGCATTTGAAAGCATACTTGAAGGTTGTATTTGGACATTTTATAATCCAGGTTGAAATGCCATACTGTTGAAATCCACCAAACATAACTCAGGAAAGGTAGCATATTAGCTAATTAGCACATTACTACCTCTTTGGATGACATGTACTTAAGTAATTTTATAAATCTGGGCGCTCGTCTTTAACTCAGTACACATTCTATGAACCTAAATTCATAGCTGATGGTATGTAAACAAATCAACCACAGTGATCATTACTTATCTCTTTGTCCAGCGATCAAGCTTCTGAAATTGCATATTTGTGTTTATACTGAGGATTTTAAGACATCAAAAGCCAAAGCTACGTGTACAATTAACAAACGTACAGTTAGAAGAGTGGCATAGTTAGGATAGTATTTTACAGGTTTATAGTTAGAAAGATTATCATTGCGAAAAGAAACAATCAAAAATGGAATGCTCACCTGTGTCCTATGCTCACAGTTTAAAAAAAAAATCCAAAAGGAGAAATCTCCAGAAAGAGATCCTTCCTCAGTGGCAGTCAGCCCTTAAATAGGGTCTAGGAGAGGTGCAGCCAGGCTCCACCCCCTCTGGTCACACAGCTGAATTACCTTCACCTGTGCTCCCATGGCTGACTCAGTGCTTGCCTCAGGTGATCAATCAGAGGTTCAGGCTGTGACTCAACAGTTCCCATACAATATGGAACTCCTATCTTGGAACAGATAAAATGTTGTAACAACTATGGCCACTGAAGTTGGAAGACCACAATGTTTGGCTCATGGCTCAGTAGATGCACTTCAGCAGCAACTCCTGCCGCTGCTGCAAGTGAGGTTGCATCAACATTTTCATGAAAAAACATACTGCCAGAAAATTCATTCTGTGTTGTAAACTGATACAGAAGATCTCATACTAGGGATAAGTCCTCCAGCTCTACAAATATACTTTGTATGATTTTTGGCTAAGAACTTGGAAGAAAAAAGAAAGCAACAAAAGAATGTCTTGAAATTGAAATCAGCAACCAGTGTTCAAACAGAGATTGTAGATACTTCTTAGTGTAGACGGTTCCTCCTATCTGACACACACACAATTTCAGCTAAATGTAGAGAGTAAAATAAAATAAAATTAAAATTAAAAAAGGTAAACTGACATCCTATATTCATTTTCAAAGTTAAGGAAATCTCAAGGAAACAATTTTATTTCCAGATAGCGGAACATGTTCTTTTTGGCTGATGATGAAACTGCTTGTAGATTACTAATAGAAAAATAAGCAAATTCCTAGTACAAATCCTTCTGGTAACCATAACTTTAACTTATTATTTAAAATAATAATTGTATTATTACAGTGCTAGGATTTCACCTTTGCTTACATAGGTACTCTGCAATATCTGTGCAGATAGCACTTAATGCAAGCTTTAAGTTTGGAAATGAAGTAAGATGTTAAATTGTGCACAAGTTAGTTGAATTTCATGTTCTTAGAACACGGCAATGCTTATAGTCTTGTAAAACAGCACATCTGAGTATATTCAAATCCAGGCTGGATGTGGCTCTGGGCAGCCTGGTCTAGTGGTTGGCAACCCTGTCCATAGCAGGGTGGTGTTGAAACTAGATGATCAGCATGGTCCTTTTCAATCCAGACCATTCTATGATTCTATGATTACAAATGAGCTAAGTGGTTGCAATCCTGCTACCTGGAAAACAATAATACGCCAACAAATCCAAAATGAGAAAGAACAGGTGATACTCATTTGAAGGGTATCTTATGAATAGATGTTCTTTGGGGTTTTCTTCACATTTTTAAGGGCAAAATAAGTTTATTTTTGTATATTCTCACTCACCTGCTCTGGGTACTTGCTTCCAACTATTTCTGCCACCGTGTTAAAAGAAGCAGAGTCTGGGTAGGTCCTGGCCCCCATCTTCAGGTACACAACGATCTTAGTGCCTCGGAAAGACATCCGTGACATCATTTCAGCATCTTCCACAGAGATGCAAGCAGTGGGAATCTGGGGTATGCCAGACTGATAGTTCTGCCAGCCAGTATGTGGGCTACAGGAAAGAAAAAATAAAACACTGTTAACAATTTAGCTTGTAAGTTATTATCACATTATAGAATTATTAAAAAGAACACTTCCACTGCCATCCCCAGCACACTGTCAAAAGGAATATATTAGTTACGTTGGAATAAATCTTTCTAGAAAATACCTCAAGCAGTTTTATACTAATCAGTATGTCTGACCATCATCGTTCCTGGGAAGTTATTCTGTGTCAGCAGAATTTAGGTGCTTTGGCATTACAGTAGTAAATCCTCTGATAACACATTTTGCTGCTGCATCAGGAAGAAAAACAATGAAAAGTCAGTAAGTGCATTTTTTTTCCTGTGACAAATAACCAAAATAATATTCACTACTTCACCTATTTCAGCATCAGAGTGGCTGTCAAAATGTCATCTACTTTGAAGAACACTAATATGAGAAATTTCAGAAAGACAATGAAACCATAAAGTACACATTTACTCATTCCCAGTGCACTTGAGACTTCAGCCACCACCTGCTGATGAAATAAAATAAAATATTTTTTTAAAACAGTAAATTTTAAACAAATTATGCAAAAATGAAGAAAAAATATACACCACTAAATGCTTCCGTTCATCTAAGGAAATGTGGAGATAAAATTAAAAAGAAATCACACAAAAATCATTAAAAAGTATTAATCTTACAGTTACACATTTTCTTTCACTAAGATAGCACTAGGTAACCATAGTTCTTTCAGTATAACTCTGTTTTCTCCAAGAAAGGTGCAGATGTTTCACGACTACGTACAGCATATATTCCCCCTTCCAAAAACTCCTTCTGTTCTACCTGAGGTGACTCCATGTCTGGCATCACAGGCTGCTAAAAGTTAATGGACAAGTTCTTTAACAAGTTCCTTCAACATTTTTTTCCAAATTAGGCCATTATTTATCTCATTTTCTGGTGCCATGGTTGAGATCTTTGGATCAGATCTGCAGAAAAACTACATGCAGAAAAAAAATAGAGAAACTGGGAACTAGATGTATGCCCAAACCTGAAAATACTCCTGATATTAAAACAGTTATTTTCTTTGTTTCCCATTCATTAAGTGGGAACAACATCACTCCTTGCTTCAGAGACTATGATGAGGACAGACTGAATGCACACCTCAGAACCATTCTGATTTCACAGTAATGACAGGAAATTGACTGTTATACAACTACATGTCCTAAATCCCAAAGTAAGCTTAGAATTGCACACTGAAATATTAGGGCAAAACCCTGCATGAGCTGTTCTTCAGTACTGGCCACCCTCTGCACTGAGATTTTATGCTGAAACAGTACTGGTACATCTCCCACCAGATTTTTCTCCCTTCATTTAAGGTTTACTTCATAATTTTTGTGTTTCAGATGCTGCCCAAGAGACACATTTCCAATATACATAAAACTCTCAGTCATGTAAAAGCTTCCTCAATACTCATGAATATACTATTTATCTCAGTTACTAAATAATGACTTTATTAGTGAAATGCCTGTGAATTAAGATTCCAGTAGAAATCTCTAAAACTAAACTATTTTCTTACCTACTTGTTGCCCTATAAAGAAGGGCTGAAGTTGAAGCTTTGAGGCCAGATTACAGACATTTCTCACACTAGCTATTAAATTATCCATATGTGTTAATCACAGAATGGCTGAGGTTGGCAGGTACCTCTGAAACCATCTGGTCCACATTCTCTCCAGCAGAGATGCCCATAGCTGCTTGCCCGGGGCTACATCCTATACATGAAATCTTCACCCATATGCCTACTTACAGCAGTAGACACATATTTATACATATTTAAACAATAAATCTGTGTCTTTTAATTTGGAAAAATACATTTGAAATATTACTGAAGATGTGTGGAGTGATCCACTTTCTAGAGATACAGATTAGATAAAATGGGAGAGGTTATTCATATACTTGTCCTTTACAGTACATCCCTCTCATCTCAAGAACAGTAAGATGTATCATACATAGTCCACAACACAACTAGCAGATAAGATATATGAAAGCATTTATTTGAAAATAAATACTAAAAATCATCTACAGAGCTTCCATGGGTGCTGCTTCAGAGTGTGGATCGATCCGTTCATTATGTGGCAGTAGTTTAAGAAGTCATTGCTCCTTGCCAGGAAAGCCGTGCAGGTGGGATGCCCAGTAGCTCCCCTTGAATCCCCAAACTCCAGAGAAACTCCAAGCAGGCAGAATCCTTGTGCTGTGGAATCCTATCTGAGCTGGATACGCTCATGTAGGTAGGCTTACAAGTTGAGATCTTACAGATTTTTTCTTTCCTTTTTCCCCTGCAACAGTCCTTCACCCCAAGTTTTAAACTACTACAAGAACTTGCTGCACATGTTCAGTATTCATTTGAGAGTTTGGGGATATAGTCAGAATGCTAACCAGGAGACCTTCCAAAAAAAAAATAATAATAATAAACAATAAACTGGAAAAAAAAGCCAACAACCAACAGTATGATCATTTCATGTATTAATGGTCCAAAAAACTTTAAATTTCAACAGCTGTGCAGAAACAAACAGTTAAATGAGCCCATTCACCTGCATCTTCTGGCAAGATTATGGCTTAGTACTAACATGCTGTGGAAATGCTGAGCAGTGATAATTCAGGTTTTATCACCACCTGTATTGATTCCATTCCTCTTATTACTTCCCAGATGCTCAACAAAAGAAATCCCTAAAATCATATTTGTTTCTCCCGTGTAAGTAGCAATCACATTTCTTTCAGATGCTCACTCCCAGCACTCCACTGTAACTGTGAATAAGGCTCCTGACAATGTAGTGAGATGCATGCACGTTAACACATCTGAAATGAACGACCATTTACATGTACTGTGCTTATCTAGCCAGCACCAAAATTAAACCCAGAAGACACCTGGTAGTCCTGTCTTCTTTATGCCTGAGTTACTTCTTTACCAAGATTGCTATGCTAAACTCAAGTACCCAATCATGACATTTTGCCATAGGCAGACAGTCAGCCACTGTTGAGCTGATATCAGGATTCCAAGGAAATGAGTAAATGTCCAAGTGACTAGATAGGCAAAAAGGAAGAAGGATTCCTAGAGTTACCACTATGAGGCTCAGATCAGCACCACCATACTGTGTGTTCCTAGAGCTACAAGGCCAACTCATAGACTGATACTAGGAAATATCCCTGGAAGACACTGAGAATATTGGGATATGCCTGATTAAAGTTTACATGCACGCAATACACACAATGTGTTCAGTATATCTACATAAAAAAACCTGTGTAATAAAGTGTCAAAGAGGATACTTAAATGCTAAGCAGTGCAAATTAAGTCCCTTTTATGCAGAAATAATCGAAAACTCTAGCAGCTGCTGACCATATGGCAAGACCTAAGCAAGAACTAGCTAAACAAATCAGAGAAGTAAGGCTGCATGCAAAAGATGAAGGCAGACAGAAGCACTCCTGAGTTTGGCTCAGAAGAGAGCAAAGAGAAAGTGATTCAGGAGAAGGAAGTTTTTGTAGCGATGGACAAGGAAGATTTCTTTCACTGTACCTGAACAAAAATGACCTTGTGGATATTCTTTCCAAAGAAAAAGGATTTTATCGAATAACCAGACTTGCACCTTTCGTTCTTTGCCCCTCAAAAACAAAAGGAAGAAAAGTATTATAGAGAATCAGCTTAAAAGCCAACCTGACTGGTCTCTGCAACAGTTGCTCTTCACAGAATCATAGAATGATTTGGGTTGGAAAGGAACTTTAAGATCATCTAGTTCCAAAACCATTGCTATAGGCAGGGACAGCCCCATCTAGACCACGTTGCTCACAGCCCCATCCAGCCTGCCTTTCAATGCCTCCAAGGAGGGGGCATCCACAGTCTCACTGGGCAATCTGTTCCAGTGCCTTACCACTCTCACAGCAAAGAATTTCTTCCTAATACCTAGTCTAAATTTACCTTCTTTCAGTTTAAAGCTATTTCCCTTCATCCTGTCACTACATCCTGTCCTCACAAAAGTCCCTCCCCAGCTTTTGGAAGGCCACTATAAGGTTCTCCAGAGCCTTCTCTTCTCCAGGTTGAACAGCCTCAACTCTCTCAGCCTGTCCTCATAGGGGAGGTGCTCCAGCCCTCTGTTTACCTTTGTGGCCCTCCTCTGGACCTGCTTCAACAGCTCCCCATCCCTCTCATGTTGGAGGCCCCAGAACTGGATGCAGTTTTCCAGGTGAGGTCTCGTGAGAGCAGAGTACAGGGGCACAGTCACCTCCTTTGACCTGCTGGTCAGGTTTCTTCTTGGAGGCAATGAACCAGCACCTTCAGTGCTTTCTGCTCACACTTGGGGGTGATGTCAGCTTCTGATGCTTCAGAACAACGTAGTCTTGAAAATGATGTCATCCAGCAAAACTTCAAGGGTAATTACACCATGTCATATTTGACATACCCATATTCCAATACCAAAGTTTGGTGTTCAGAGGGATTCGAGTCTTTATTATTTTCTAACACAAGCACCTGCTCTTTAGATTTTAGTTCTACAGTATTACCCCACATCCATATTTAAACAATTTTTTAAAACTACTTAAGAACACATTGGTGTAGATTCATTCTTTACAAATCTACTAATGTTAAAATCTCATCATCATTTCGTCTTGACATTCCTATTCAACTTTTGACAAGATTCAGATAAATAAGGCTGTTGGGTTTTGCTTCTGATAAGCACTTAGATTTCACATCTTGGAACGTGAATTTAATGGAATTTAAGAAGTATCACAGTATGAAAAACAACAGTAAAAGCTCCAACAGTAAAATATTCTCTCTTAAAAGTGCATGTCAAATAACTAGTATGAAAAAAATGTGGTTTGCATCTTACAGAAAAGTGCAAAGGAAGGGTAAGAACAGTCAAGAGGCTGTCAGATAATTGTCTTCCAAGAAAAGTAATCAAAGGTGGAGTCACTAAAAGCTCTTGATGAAGGGATACGCTGCTGGTATCAGATCTATTCTAACTATTTTTACTGTGTTAGCCAACC